TTGTCAAAATTAGGAAATGGCATTTCGTGTTTGCTCATGTATTGATCATCTCAGATACTTTTGTTCTTTTCATACACTAAAGTTCCTGCCGGGTGCCATTTTCATTCAGTATGAATAACTTCAATTCAGCATGTCTTATAGAAAAGATTTCTTAGTGATCAATTTTTTTTCCGCTTTCATTGATCTGAAATTTTGTTTCATCCTCATAAATAAAGGTAATTTTAGCTGAATCTCTAAATCCAGCACTTTTGAAAACATAATTCGGCCTGTTTTTTTTCAGTGCGAAGTCAGCTGCCATTGGGAACCTGTTCTATTGTATGTTCTCTTTCTTCTATCTATGACAACTTTGGGATTTGTTGTTGTTGTTGATTTGTTCTATGCCTTGCTTTGACATTTTGACTATGATATACTTTGGTACATTGTTATTGGATTTTTTTTTTTAAAAAAAATTGGATCAGAACTATTGTATTTTCCTTTAAATTGGAAACAATTTTAGCCATTATTTCTCAAAAATGTTTCTTAGTGAAAACTCAAGTACATGTGTGTTAGACTTTCTCCTATTTTCCTATTGATGACTAAAATTCTCTGAGCTTTTATTCTTTTCTGAAATATCTAAACAGACATTTTGTTTACCTAGTGATTTTTTTATTTTACATACTTATTTAACTATTTATGTGCCTCCACTTTTATCAGTTTTATTTATTTTAGGAGATTATCTCTACAACCACATTAACTACATATTCCTTTACATACTTGAACATTCTTGTAAAATATTTTTTGAAGTCTTTATTTCAACAATTAATTCAGGATCTGTTTCTTTCACTTGATTATTTTTCTTGATTATGGTTCATATTTTTCTATATTTTATATACATATGAATTTTTACATACACTGGATGTTCCTCATAAATACAAATCTGTATTTAGATAGTCTTCATATAAAAGGCAGGGTCCTGTTCTGGTTAGTGTGCTTTCATGTTTAGTTTTATTATTTGGGAGAAAAAGCTACTGTAACTTTGAACTCAATTCATCATCACAGAATAAATGTAAATGAGTTATGAAATAAAATGAATGCTGACCAACCAAATGAAAGCAGGGCAAATGAAATGGAATAGAACAAAAATGGCGTTTAACCAAAATATATAAAAGAAAGGAAAGAAATAAAATAGATATGGGAGAAGGCTTTACCTTAAACTAACAAGAATCTAGAATATTAACCAAAAATTCTTATTGGAACATGCTACATTAAAGCTTTGCATCTCTCATGTTTGTGGCGAGTCAGAAGCTGTTGTACAGAACAAGAGCATCCTGCATTTCTATTGGCTGGGGAGGAAGGGGTGATGGGTTTGCCTCAGACTTTACCAGTGGATGAAAGAGTAAAAGCAGGAAATACGACCACATTCTGTTTTTATTCACCATGCCTTCTAGAAATGAAAATGATACTAAAGTCAGTTTTCCTTTGTAGTTAATATTTTTTTCATTTCCAGATGTATTTTTAAGATTAATATTATTATAGATTATTTATTTTATTTTTGAGATAATATAATTATATATTAATTATAATATAATTGCATCACTTCCCTTCCTTTCCTCTCTCCAAACCCTTCCATATATCCCTTACTGCCTCTTTCAAATTCATGGTCTCTTTTTTCTTTAACTATTTTTACATGTATATATGTACATACATAGATACATATATGCATACACACACACAAAACACACACACACATATATATATATTCCTAAATACATAAATATACCCAGCTTTCTCTATATACTGTTACTTGTATGTATGTTTTCAGCTGACCATTTGGTATTGGATAAACCATTGGCGTGCTCTTCCCTAGGAAGACTATTCTCCATCTCTCAGCATTCCTAAGTTGCTAGGGTTCAATGTGTAGGCGTGAGGCCTCCTGGGTTTTTCCCTGTCCACTTAGGCATGCCCATTGTTGTCGTCCTTGTCCAGCTTATGTTTGGAAAGTAATGAGTCATTTTTAAGAAGATGATAGTGGAGTCCAGCAAGATGGCTCAGCGGGTAAAGGTGCTTCCCACACAAGTCCACTGGCCTGAGTTCTATCCCCAGAACACATGTAAAGGTAGAAAGAAAGAACTGACTCCACAGGGTTGTCTTCTGATTGCCACATATGGGTCATGGCAGACATGCCCCTCCACACACCAACACACTACTAGTAAATACAATTTTTAAACTGAAAGTTAAATAAAAATAGTGATATGTCTTATATTGAAAAGGTGTTTCCTTGACTTTGAGCAATTCTTTTAATTATACTTGTTTTATATTATGATAAAAACTGTAAATTTAATTTTATATTTGCTCTTTTCTGTCATAGGTATAACATTGTCACTTTTATACTCAGTCTCTGCTCTTCATCCTCTACCTCTCTCTGCTTCTCTATCCCCTGCTAGAACTTTAATGAGGACAATTGCACTAATATTTAAAGTTGTTTCTTTCAAGAAATGGGATTAGAATATAAACTTTCAAAGAAAAAATTTCTACTCATGCATTTCATATCATTATAAAATAGTGGTTAAATTTCTATAAAAATAATTTGTTTAAGAAAAAAAAAATTAAGTTGGGCAGTGGTGGTGCATGCCTTTAATCTCAGGACTCAGGAGGCAGAGGCTGGCAGATGTCTGTGAATTTGAGGACAGCCTGGTCTACAGAGTGAGATCCAGGATAGCCAGGGCTGTTATGACAAAGAAAAGAAGAAAAAGAAAGAAAGGAAGGAAGGAACAAAGGAAGGGACGAAGGAAGGAACGAAGGAAGGAAGAAACTATGAATTTAAAACTATAAATATTAAAATGAAAGAAATGCAATACTATAAGATTGAAGTGTACCTTTAAATAGTCAAATACCTTGGTATATCTCACAGAGGATGCGGTCCATGTTTCTTTCAGAGGAAATATTGGTATTGTTTTAGGCTCATGGGTCACATGGTCTCCTGTGTAACTATGAAATCCTGTTTCCCGAAGTGGAAAGCAAGGCAATATGCATATAAGTTACCCTGTTTCTAAAGTGTTATTTATAAAAGTGAGAAGTTAATTCATAGGCTGTGGCTATTGACTCCAGTGCATATTCATACACTAACTTCATCAAAATATTGTTAGCCCAGAGGCTAAGGATATAATGCATTGGTACAGTACTTTGCATGCATTCAGGAGGCCCTAGGTTCAATTCCCAGAACCACAAAACAAACAGAAAAGCAAACAAAACTATTATTAGCCAATCTCCTAACTTTTTGGGTTTTAAGGTAAATTAATACTGAATAATTTTAATTTGTTTAATAATTTTATGCCTTTATTAATGATATGTTACTATAATACTCTTAATATACAAAGAGGGAGTAATTTGAATCCATATTCAAATTTGGATAAACCTTAATATTTCTTGATATCTTAAGAATGTCAAAATTTACAAAGTGAGGAGAAAACTTTTCTTAACATTTCTGAGGCACCAGACTTAAAGTGATCTCTCTCCTTTCATTTTCTATTTGCCCACCCAGTCAAAGACGTCTACAGGAGAAATGTGTTGAACATCCGTTAAGTCATTTCCCCCACCCAGAGTCAACCCCCTAGTCTGCTGGTTCTTGTACAGGTCAGGGCTGGCATCCAGCCTCCTGCCTCTGGTGCAGGATTGCCCACTACATCATCTGATCACAGGAAATACAGCAGAGCCAGAGAGGAGAAGCACAGTTAGAGGTCATGGATGCTCCTGTTAGTGATGTATTTGTGCTGACTTCTCTGTTCTGAGCACTTTTATTTACTGATTGTACTTTCTCTAGTTTTACAATGGGTTTATAAATAACATTATTTTAAAATGATTTGCCATTACAGATGAAGGTGATTCTGCACAGTGTGTGTCCTGTCTTAAGGGACAGTCCATCCATAAAATGGCAAATGGGGAAGACACAGTGGCCTCTTCTCTTCACTCATTTCCTGTAGTTCAGATCAATGACTCTCAAACTTCAGCATGCATCTGAATTCCCCAGTGTGCTTGCTAAAACAGATTGCTGGGCCCCACTCCAGAGCGTCTGATTCAATAGGTTTGAGATGAGGCTGAGAATTTGCATTTTGGATCCAGTCCCAAGTGATGCTGATACTGCTAGTCTGAATGAAACACTCTGAAAAACACTTGTTTAGATTCTCATCCCCAAAGGCAAATTACAATTACCAGAGGAGGCATTAAAACGCTGATGTCTGGATCCATCATGGATCAATTGGAAGGGAATATTTTGGGCTTGAAACTGGAGACGAGTACTTTCCAAAAGTGTGGCCAGTCATTGTAATGTAGAGACAAAGCTGAGAACCACGTGAGAAAATAGTGACCTAAGAAAGTTGACTTGATCTTATGGGTTGGTGGGAGGTTTTCTTTTCATAACACATTCTTCTAGTAGTTGGAGACAATTTTTATGTAATTATTTCAAGGTGTAAATAAATAGTGTAAGGCCAGTAAGATTTTTCCAGTGGATAATATTGCTTGTGATAAGGCTGATGACCTCAGCATGATTGATAGAACCCACAGTGGTAGGAAGGAGAGTGAACTTCTGCAAGCTGTCCTCTGTCCTCTATGTGTCCCTAAAGAAACGTTTTTAAAAGTAATGTAAAGATAACACTGCAAATGGTTCAATAATTTGAAGGTAATTTAAATTTATTTGATCCTACTAATTGTTTTAAGTCCTTACATGATTATACAATGTTTCTTTGGAGCTGTTCTTTGATGATTTGTGACAGCCTCACTCTGTAAACCCATGCCATCCTGTAACTCATCACTGCCCTGCCTCTAGAGTCTTAGATTATAGGCACTATGCCTAAGATATTATTACTGTAAATGTGTGTGTATGTATGTGCATTCATATATCTGCTATTTTTAAATGATGTTGCATTTCAGTTCTTGTTTTTTTTTAATTATTATTAGCATTGCATAAGATGCAACAACATTTAGATACAAAGTCCCAAATCCTTGTTCTTAATCTCACTCCACAGTGAACGGTGCAGATATACGTTATATGGACACACAGACTCTGTGAACAGCATTGAGTTTTTCCCTTTCTCCAACACTCTTCTCACCGCTTCTGCAGACAAGACCTTATCTGTGTGGGATGCACGAACAGTAAGTCAATTACCTGCCCTCTACCCAGGTTAATTAGTTTAAGCATTGGTAGCCACTCTTTAGGTAATGGGTACAACTTTAAAAGTGTTGTAAGGAATGTAGGATTAAAGTAAGCTGTTATGGTGTGTGTGTGTGTGTGTGTGTGTGTGTGTGTGTGTGTGTGTGTGTGTGTGTGTGTATGTGTGTACCTGTCTGTGGTTCTGGGGGCACTATGCTATGTCATATACGTGGATGTCAGAGGACAACTTTTCAGAGTTGGTTCACTCCTTACACATCACAGGTTCAAGAATGAAACTCCCATCCTCAGGCATGACTTACACACTGACCATCTCACTATTCCCCAAGCAGAAAGAAACTGCAATAAAGAAAAGAGGAGATAACACATAATTATTTTAAAGATAGATTTACAAAATTTGAAGACTAATAGATTGTGTTTTCATTTTCATTTTAGTTATATCTGATGAGGATTTTATTCTTAAAATTAGATAATTCAAATTGTGAAATAAAATGAAAATATTAAATAAAATATTGATGCCAAATTATTTATATAAAAATGGCAACTCTAGTCAAACAGTGATTTCACCAAAACCACACTAGTTCTGGTGATTTTGTTTCCAATTTTTAAAATTTATTTAAGAAATAAATGATAGCTGGGCAGTGGTGGTGTACGTCTTTAATTCCAGCACTTGGGAGGCAGAGCTAGGTGGATCTCTGTGAGTTCGAGGCCAGCCTGGTCTACAGAGTGAAATCCAGGACAGGCACCAAAAAACTACAATAGAGAAACCCTGTCTTGAAAAACAAAACAAAACTAACAAAAAAAAAAAAACTTAACAACCCCGTCTTAGGAATCACTCATATTTTAAAGTTCAAATTCCATATGTTATTCTAGAGTTATTTTTCATATTTTGCCTGTTCAACATGAATTACTCCTGGTTTTTATTCAAATTATTCATGAAATATTTAATGGACGTGCATTTTCTGTGGTGCTGAAAGGGTGACCAGAATTGTCACCTCTGTCCTCCCTGTGGCAGTCAGAACTGTGTGACGCATTGACAAAGGTCACACTGTTTGATTTGTAACATCAGCTTCATCCCTGGTATTATTCTTCCTTTAAATGCTTAAAATACATAAATTTCTTAATAAATGATAAATTATCTGGGTATAGAGAAGGTCTGGGCCTAAGAGAAGACGAATGACATCCTTTTCTTGTTAGAGAAACAGTGGTAGCTCAATTTTGTCACATCAACGTGATCAATTACTCTTGAGGCACCTCTAAAATATTTTTGATGAGTTAAAAAAATGCCCAGTGGATTATATTCTCATAAATTAATTTTACGCTTCCTTTTTTCCACAGTCAAACATATACTAGTCTTAAATCATTAACTCACCATAGCAACTGATTATTACAGGTAATGAAAGTGGAGACCTCCAAGTCAGTCTCCCAGTCAACTAGACGGCTCTGCTCTGAATTCTGTGGGGGTTGAGGAGAGTGATATGAATCTTTATAATTACCAGATAAAGGTTGTAAAAGAGACCGGAGTTTTGGAAACTCATGAAATTGATGTCTAATGGGGTTGAATGTCTCTTTTCTCAAAGTTACAAAACAGTAAAACTACTTTATTAAAATTGAAAACTAAGATTGTTTTTCTGTTAGAAAAATGATATATAGTAAATTTAGTGAAAAATTATGATGCCTTCCTAAAAATATCAGCATGAAAAGTCCCCATCCATGAGTAGTTTAAAGGACTGTTTAAAACAAATGCAGTGAGGTTGTTTAGTCATTTCCTAGACCAATGAAAAGATTAATGCTGCTGGTATTTTTTAAGACAAGGAATGTATCTCCTGGACAGTAAAATATGAACAACAAAAGGCAAGACAAAGTTCTGGGCTGGGTCAGAGCGGGGCTGGCAATGGTCAGTGTGGCTGGCGTTTCCTCACTCATCCAGTCCACAACCTGGTGGCCTTGACTGCAGCACCTGTCCAGAGATAGCCTGGTCCTGACTTCACTTTAAGATCCAGGAATCGATCTCTCTGAGTGCCTACGAAGTAGAGAAACTAGGAGGTCGCAAAAGAGCTAACATATTATGTCCTGTCTCTGTGACCCCTGTCTTTGTCATAGTTCAGCCTCACTTTCCCAGGGGTGTGCAGTTGAAGAGACAAGAGCTGTGTACTCTGAGAGGAGCACTACAGCATTCAGAGCTCAGCATGCAGAGGGCTAGGGAAGCACAGCTGGCACCTCTTCTCTTGGGTTATATTTTTCATTCATTTTTTTCTCATGTAATATAGGGTCATATTTGTGCTGAAATGTGATTTTATTTGTATGATTACTGGTTTCCCCTTCCTTGACTTCTACCAGTTTCTCCCTGCCTCCCCTTCCATTCAGACCCCACCTGTCTATCTCTCATTAGAAAACAAATGGACTCCAAAGAGATAATAATATAATATAATATAATATAATATTATATTATATTATATTATAATATTATATTATATTATATTATATTATAATATAATAATATAATATAATATAAAACAAAAACTAACACATCCAAATTGGACAAAACAAACAGAAGGGAAATATTCCAAGAGAAGGCACAAGAAACAGATCCCATTGTCCACACACTCAGGATTTCCATAAAAACGCTAAACTGGAAGTCATACTATATACAGAGAGGACCTGTAGGGTTCAAAGAGAGAAGAAAAACTATATATATAAAATAATTAAAAAAGGGAGTGGGAAGCCCTGACAGAACATTATGAGACAAGGAATCTCCAAAGATTCCGTTGAGTTTGTTTCTGTAGGTTCATTTTCAATTTAGTAATTTTTATTGGAGATCTCTGTGCCAAGCAACATCATAGGTCCTCAGAAAGCTCCAGATAGAATCTTGTCCTCAAAGGATATACAGACTTTTAGGGAGCAGGTATACATGTAAATAAATTTAGGAGGAATAGTAATTATTATATATCCTATAATTGTTGATTTGGCTTTTTGTAGCATTTATTGAATATTTACTACCTGCAATCACTGTACTTAAACATCTACATAATGCTTTGTAGAATCCGATTAAGTGGGTACCATTTACTGTTTTACTCTTGTACTGGGGATACATGCTTATCAAGATAGAAAAGTTACCCAAGATCAGCCAACAGAGCACAGACAGAGGCAGGTGCATGAAGCAGGATGCCTCTGCAACTTCTGGCTGATGTCTTCCCACCCTTGGCCATTTCTATGCCCCTGTGATCAGCCAGCACTTTAGCATTCTACCACAAAAGTTCAGAAACATTTTCCATTAAACTGTCTTAGGCATTTACTAATGAACTGATCTTGTGTATATGTAAACACACACACACACACACACACACACACACACACACACACACACACACACCTTTAAGAAAGGGTAATATAAATGGCAGTATTAATATTGTTTTATAGCCTCTGATTTTGGTTGGTTCTAACAAAAGATACTAATAATACTAAAATGGCACTTATTTTTAGAAGATGACTTAATATGCTTATACTTTCAAAATTTTCTGGTTCAATGATTAATTAATACAATCGATAAATCAAAACTTAGACCTGTGTGTAGATTTATCAGCTACAAGAGCTGCAAATAATTCTTCATAAAGACAGAGAATCCTAAAAGGAAGAACTCTGGGCTGGTGAGATGGCTCAGAGGACTAAGGCACTTGATGCCAAGCCTGAGGATCTAAACTCAAGCCTAAAGATCTACATGGAGAGTCGACTCCTGCAAAGAGTATGTATGGTATACATACAGGCACACACACACACACACACACACACACACACACACACACACACACACACACACACAGACATACATACACACACACATACATTTACCAACTAAACAAAATATTTTGCTAAAAATTTTCATGACATTAGTTAGTCTCAGGAAATACTTAAAGCTTTTAAATATTTTAAAACAATATAGAGAATTCTGCAGTTAAAGAATTTGCTACAACAACTAGCAAAGATTACTGCCTTGCATAGATTTGGCAAAAGAAACTCTGACAAACATGTTATCTGATGTTCTATAGCAGTTTCCTTTGAAAATGGTACCTTTTTTGTTCCCTATAATGTCACCTTTCCTTTGAAGGGATGATTAGATGTATAATTATTTTTCAAAGTTATTTTCTGATTACACACCGTTAAGACACGCTTGCCATCACATAAAAGGTCAACAAATTAGGAATATATGAACCTGGCAGCAGTAGTGGGGTGTGTGTGGATAAAGCACTAGTCATCATTACAACTTTAAAAAAAAGTGTTTTGTTAAAAAACTAAGTGTGAAATTCTGTGGGAGCGGAAAACATCTTCTTGGCGGTGTCTGACTCACTAGAAAGATTGTGAAGATTCTAGTCATCAAAGGACAAGTTGGCATAAAATTAACCAAATTAAAAATACCTCTATTTCTTTTAAACTGCTGTGAGCGTTTCAGGATGTTAGACAGCCCTGGAGTTGTTCTCACAGACTGTTGTACACCTGGCTTTGGCAAACTTCGTATTTTGCACATGTACTCTACCAACACTCACTACTCTGTCTCTAATTCCTACAAGTTACCTGTTGTTGGATTTTACTCTTGGGCTCTTTGCTCTTTTGCCTCTTTGCTCCTTGGGGGGCCTGCCACACAGCTCCCAAATAAATACACAGGGAAGCTTATTCTTTCTTATAAAAGCCTGGCCTTAGCTTGGTTTATTTCTGGCCAGCTGTTTTTTTTTAACTTAAATTATCCCATATACCTTTTGCCTCTGGGCTTTCTCCTTTTCTTACTTCTGTGCATCTTACTTTAACTCTTACAACATGGCTGGCTGTTTGGCTGGGTGGTTGGGTGGCTGACCCCTAGTGTCTTCCTCTCCTCCTTTTCTTGTTCCTTGATCTCTCCTGTTTGCTCTCTTTTTTCCTTCTACTTATTCTCGCTGCCTGCCAGCCCCACCTATCCTTTCTCCTGCCCAGCTATCAGCGGTTCAGCTCTTTA